ATCGCTTCAGGTTTGTATGCATCAAACTGTTAATCAACTTAATTACTGTATTCATTTCCTGAGCTTAGTATTTTTATATCCTAAGCTTCTTATCGTGAGCCTATCCAAGTCTTCATATCCTTAGGCTTGATTTCCCACCATGGACCGTATATTTTTTGGAGTCTTTAGTTAATCTCGAAACATTGCGGGGCCTAATTACCGAAGCCCTTAGCCTGGAAACTTTCTGTGCTTGGAGACTCCGATAATTTGGCCCCACGTTAGAGTTGACGCCTAATCGTGTAATCCTTTGAGCAAGGGGTTTTGCCTAGGAATCAGCTAAATTCCATACATTAACTCTAATTCCACTTCATAATACTCTCATGAATACCGTATAATGCAGAACAGCAGTACTTTTGATACGGCGATGTCTTTTGCTATGTTTCTAGTTTTCAGCCTCATCGGATGTGTCTGTAATGATAACGCACCCCAATTGTGTGCAATTACATGGTACAGCTTTCTCTATATCAGAGTAATTTCAGCAAATTCATTCACTTTGCAGAGAATTACGTTGCGATGTGTTACGCTCGATACGGTAATTCGCAGTGCTTAGTGTGGTTCAATGCATGCAGACAAATCAGCTCATCGGATATTTATGAGTTAACTGCATCCGAGAGAGAATGTGTTACAAGCCGTACGTTGAATTCATTCCAATTCTCAATGAAGAGTTGCAAGCTGCAATTTAGATCAAATCAATACAACATTTTTGAGACATAAAAATGACTGAAGCCTGAATTGAGTTGAACGAAAGTTTCCATCCTTTCACTGAGCATTCTGCACCATAATCAAAACCACTCCAGCAGCTTGATCTAATCTTGGGGACCGTACTGAGATTTTATTCTCTGCGATTCTCAGAATGTTTTCCAAACCACTTGTCTATGACCTTTCTTCCATTTTGGGTATGTTCCGCTTTCTTATCCTTCAATATTTGGTGATGTATTCATCCAACTCATATGAATCAGTGCTTCTTTGATTGAAAGTGATCGTGATTCTTACCGTGAAGGTTATGAAGCAAACCTGACTGTTGCATACTCTCAAAGAACTTAAATTACTAGCATGCAAGGTGTATTCAGAGGCAGACCTGAACCAGTCGATGTTAATCTCTCAAACTTCAATCCAACAATTTCTTCCTACGTTGTCCTCAAATTGACTGAATTTCTCCATGTTCTCCTCACATTTCCATGATCTGATGCATGCTCTCAACATGTCATCACCAATGCGCCTTCTTCTTTAGTGATCGAACAGCTGATCTGGCGATCGTAGATCATCAACAACCTTCTACTGATTCCATATGAAATGACTGCATCTTGAGACATCTTACACCCATTTTTCAGTACAAATACTAGTAAAGCTAACCAAAAGATGTTCATCAAGTCCGAATCTGCCGTTCTGTGCGAATCTGAAAACAGTATGTTCGCAATACCTTGGTCCTAATCAATCTGGTAAGAGTTACTAAATTGTCCAGTCTTCTTCACTTCTCTGCTGCACAAATTGACCGCGTTGTTAAGATTCCGTTGAAATTCCCACCTCATCTGTCCATAGCACAAAGCTGTGAGCAGCAATATCAACTACACCTTCAAAGGCTTCGACCAAAAGCCATATATAAAACTCAGCGTAACACTACGCTTATGCATATAGCTCTTATTCTCTTTCCTCAACAGCTGATTCGATTCGAATCACACTTCAGTGGAATTTAACACAATGCAGCCGTGAGTATTTGATGCTCCCAATGTTGCGCTTCTTTTAGTAAAATGACTTTCCTGAGTATAAAACTGTTAAGNTTGTGAATTTGCGCCTCCAAATTTGATTTGACCTACAACTCCCATGTCCAGCGTATTGCTATATGAATATATCAGCTAAACAGGCCGAAACGCCAACCCTTCGATGAGCCAATTGAAGGGTGTGATAACCTTTTTGATTATTTCTTATCTATTTGAAATCTCATCTATTCCCTTTTGGAACCTGAGCATTTTGTACTTTAGAAAAGACGGATGTAATGACACTGTGTATAAACAGATACGGCACGGATGCTTGCAATAACATGGTCGTATCTTGCTACACACTCACTAATATACCTAACCCTGAAAATGGTACCAAACGACAGTTACCAGAAATTATTATCAACTGCATGTTTTCCGGTACGTTTTCGGCAATCTTCTTGAACTAAATCATTTCACCAATTTCGCAGCTACCAGTTAAAGCAAATTTTCGTTTTGATACCTCATAGTGCAAGAAACTCGAAAACTAGAAAGAGTTGCCTAAAAACGAGGAAGTACATAAGTATTTGTGCGATTCATCGACAAAAAAGCGCTTTCATTCACTGCGCTCAGAGAAGTAACTTGATTGTGACTCTCTGCACAGATATGATCTCTATTTGAAACAGTGTTCNCCAGTTTAGCGTCAATCGTAAGCGATCTGGAGATAACAGACTGCATATGTAGGATGGTGTGATCCTTGATCTCATGTCTCAGTGTACTCTAATTTCAACACATCCATTCGTTGTCAACTTTCTATTCCCTCTGAAGTACTTCAATTTTAGAGATTTACAATCCCAGCGTAATTTGGCAGTGCATTCAAAAATATGGTAGCAAATCGTGTAAAGTAGTGATTGAAAAGTGTTATACGTCAACAGGTTCAAGTCTGTCTAAGAAAACACCTTGGATATTAGCACCATCTTTATCTGGGTGCATAACAACAGGTTGGTATGTTTATGCCAGTCGCACTTCATAACCTTCAAACAGGTTCAAGTAAAAACAGCCAGGTTTTCTTATGTGTACGTACATCGATATCAAATGTTGGATTGCTAAAATTATGTGGATTTTTTTTTTGAGGTGAAATGGATTTGTGCTTGTTGAATAAGAATGATCGATTCCAACTTGTGCATGAGACTATTTTAAGGAATGATGAACATTAATGTAAACTCGAATGTTGGAATAATGTCGCAGTGTATAACGACATACGGCAATGATTTTTGCAATCAAATGCTGTCATCTTGTTCTGTGCTGACCAACGTGCCATTTGCGACGGTTGGCGTTGGTGGACAGCAGCAGATTCCAACGATCCTGAGCAGCTGTATGGCATCGGGTAAATTCATTTTGTCCTACACTACTAACACACCAAAATTCATTCGGCATTCACATAACAAACGGCAAAGCTCAGATGCATTGACGGCTCTGGAAATAACAGCTTCTCATCGTTCATTCAGTGCTATTTGAAATGGCTCTGTTCAACTACAATTGCTTCACTGCAACTTTCAGAAATGGCAAACCCGAGTATAATGTGGCAGTGTGTTCAGAGATTTGGTGTCACAACTTGCAAAACTCTGTTGGGATCATGTTTCACATCGACTGGAGCTACTCTTTCACCGCAGACCCCTTGGGTGATACCGTCCACGATCCTTACTTGCATTACTTCAGGTATTCAGATAATGTTTTGCAATCATAGAATCCGAGACAAATAAATGAGAACAATTACAACGAACGTGTGGTCATATCAAGAGCACATTGAATTGATTCAATTTTGCGCACATAATAGTTTGAACTTCAGGTATGAACAATCAAAATACCGGAGTAATCAATCCAGTTGTCCCGGTCAATCCAGGTGTCCCCGTTAATCCAGTTGTCCAGATCAATCAAGTTGTCCCAGTCAATCCAGTTGTCCCGGTTATTCCGATCAATCCGGGTGGTCCATCGAATACTGTAGACGTCATGTCGCAATGTACACAAAAATACGGAGTTAATTTTTGCAACAATTTGGGTGCTTCGTGCTCATCGTTGACAAATGTGGCTTTTGTTGTGCCCGGATTCGGAGGGCAACAGCTATCACCAATGATCAGATCGTGCATTTCTTATGGTGATTTATTTGCCTTTTCCACTCCATCTTCTAAATAGTCGGCTTTCACATAACTCAGTTAACCTCTGCGATATGCTCGAACTCACTGCACTTGGCGATTATATACTGCAAAACTTTCGTTTAACCTCTACTCACGAATTCATGTTCATCGAGCTTTTTATGAAATCTTCAGTATATCTTCAATCCATCACGTGCATCTGCTCATTCGCTAACTTAGTGTATATGATGAACTGAGAGAATATTAGAGGATAGAGGTTATTGAAAAACTATCTGTATTCGTGAGTGGTAGCGCACGTCGATCAATGAAGACCTAATGCGACTGGTTTCTAGAAATGATAAGTCCAAGCGTAATGTCACAATGTGTCGCGAAATACGGAAGCCAATTCTGTAAGAATCTTCTTGCAAATTGCTTGTCTTCTACGGGTGCAACACTACCGATGCAATCACCATGGCAGATACCGCCGGTTGTTTCTTCATGCATAACCTCAGGTTCGTGCTTCCGGACCCTTTTTAGCATTTCTTTTGAATCTAACATTTTGAAGCACTGTTTTTTCAATGAGATTCTCTCGTTTCGAATCTCAGTATTTAGAACGCGATATCGAATTGCCATTTTAATTTGTTACTTATTCCTTTGTCAATTACCGTTCGCGTTTCATCACCAACATCGAATCACACACTAAAGACACTTGTGAATACATATTCTTGATCCATAAGGAATTCAGGAATGGCGAAAGGAACTGACCATAATAAAAAAGACGTGATGGCAACTTGCATACAAAGATATGGTGCAGACTTTTGTAAGAACATGGTGGGATCATGCGCTGCATTGACTGATGTGACTCTTACATCTTATGGAATTGGTTCAGTACTACCACAAGTTATTGTCGACTGCATGACCTCGGGTACGTGATTGGGTACTTCTCCATTGCTCTTCACATGATTAACAATATGTAATAATAAAGGTATTCATCTGAATAATGAAAATGCGTTTTTGCGTATCGCCGTGCGCGTTTTGCACAAACTCGTAACCACATTTATTGGTTTGTGTTTTCAGAAATGTCTAGTCCGAGCATAATGTGGCAATGTGTGCAGAAGTATGGTACTGAATTTTGCAAGAAACTGCTGCAAGATTGTTCTGCTTCTACGGGTGCATCCTTATCTCCCCAAGCACCTTGGCTCATACCAAGTGTGATCGCTGAATGTATGGCCAAAGGTATTCACCTGTAACTCATAGAAATCGTATTGTTAGGTGGATGGATCGCACTCAGCGAATGGCTTTCTTGCAAACTCATCAAGTGCATCTCACATCCATTAAATGAACTTTAGGTATGGTCAATGGAGGACGGCAAGCTGATGACACAATGGCAATTTGCATCCAAAAATACGGCATCAAATTTTGCAACATCATAGGAGCGGCGTGCTCAGTGTTAACGCAAGTGCCATTCTTCCCACAACTGCCTGGCACAGTGCAGCAATTACCATCAGAACTTCGTGCATGCGTGCGATCGGGTAACGTGTTCTTTCTTGACGAGTGCACCAAAATGTTTCAGACATTAGCTGAAATGACAACAGCATCTTTGCATGAATATATATTAGCATCTATAGACACAATACGATCGGCAGCCTACAATATTTATGTGTGGCACCATGAGGCCAACAATGGAACAATTTTGCTAGATACACATGATTTAATGTTATCAATACCCCCATCGTATCCCGTCTCAGTTCCTTGCAAGTGATCAAATATTGCGTTGAAAAGGAAGGATAATTGATGTCATGGATCCTCTTCGACAACATTTTCACATAACTTTTGCTTCATGAAAACAGCGAGCAAATGAATACTTGTATACGGGTTTCTTACATCTCTGAGAATGGACCTCCTTTTCATCTCACACTATATTTGATCACGAGTAACATATTTGCAGAGACCCAAAAACCAAACGTGATGACCAAATGCGTGGAGAAATATGGCACGGAATTTTGTAGTAGCCTGTTGCAAAGTTGTTCTGCATCAACCGGTGCAATATTACCTCTGCGAGAACCGTGGAAGATACCGCACCCGATTGCAGACTGTATGTATGCAGGTAGGCGATGGACCAACGAAATTTCACGTTCACATTCCACTCGTATATTCATTATTTCCTCTCGCTACTTCTCTGATCGCTCACAGTGATACTGCGTTGGTGTTTTCAAGTCATTCACATGCATATGCACAGAAACACATTTTAAGAGTCTCGTCGATGGTCGATTGCAGCAATTCCCCTTCACCAACTTATTGCAGTTAACTTGAATCACATCACATTTTCAGGTATGAATCCAGAATCTAAAGAAGACCGTGGAGGTATAATGTCGAAATGCATCAGACGTTATGGTTTTGATTTCTGCAAGAAGATGTTGGAATCCTGTTCGGCATTAACTAGTGTACAGTATGACTCACGAAACACTAACTACGCATCACTTCCACAAGTATTGAAGGATTGTATGGCATCAGGTGAGTGGAACAGGAACAATTTTTACAAGCACTCAAGTTCAATAAGCAAAACTGACCATTAGTGCCAGTACATTAGTTAATACTATGTTTGTCACCTTGAATGTTCATGAGAAGAAGTTTTAAAAATTTTTACTGTCACTACGCAACTAGATTGTCTCACGAACGAATACTCTTCTCATCAATAACGGTGGTTCTATTTTCGTACTGCTGCAACGAAAACAACTGTACTGTTATAAGTTGAAGGCGAATACGATTAGAATTCAGCGTTAATCCATCATCATTCTGCTAAATCATAGTAACTCATGAATTTTCACGAAATTTTACCCGTGAATTTGATAATCGAGTGCATTTAGCAAATAATATCTCAGTTGTCTCAGTAATGATCGACTAGAACGGCAGTTCGGGTAATTCCTAATATTACCTCTTTAGAAATGGATAGTCCGAGCGTAATGTTCGAATGCGTGCAAAGATATGGTACACCATTTTGCAAGGGCCTCTTGGAAACATGCACTGAGAAAACACGGGCATCCCTCTCACCACAGGCGCCGTGGTTGATACCAACTGCAATTGCACAATGCATGCGTCAAGGTTATTTTATCGCAATGTTTACAACTTTGACATGGAATATGGAGCGTGTTCAGCATACGACTAGATTTCATTTGAATCAATCATAGACTGCGCTGAGGTAAGAGTGATGTATATGTTTTGTTCAACGAGGATTGGACCAACTGAGTTGTAAAAGAATTGCATAGCCCTACTCAAAATCGGAACATAAAGACCGTTTCATTGGGGGAATTCGAATTGCACTTCCCGCTATCGATTGTGACATTAGTTCCAATGCAGCAACTGTCTTTATGCATTGCTAGTATTTCCCAGAAACTCTGAGTACTATTGACGATACCGGTTGCATTGAACGATGATAGACTTGAACAGNAACCATTCTGTGAGAGCCCTCAAAGATATACCAGTGCCGTGTTAGTTTGAAACAGCAGTGCGACACATCCTTAAAAAATGAGTTTGCTTGCGATTTGATGAGCAATTTAGGAATGAACCAAGGAGATGAAAAGAAGACATTGATGTCGTTGTGTGTAAGAAGATATGGCGCTGATTACTGCAACAATCTGGCAGCAGCTTGTTCTGTTCTTACCAATTTACCGTTCTTCCCACAGACACCTCCATCTGAACAAAATCTACCACCAATGATGCACAAATGCTTAAAGTCGGGTAAGTCATTTTATTCGCTTTTCATATTCGAAAATGACCCAGAACTGAACAGTTAAACGTGAGTGGGTGGGTATATGGATGTGAAAGCTACGTAATTGAGTAGTCGAACTGACAGGTTTCTAACCATGTTACGTCAGCAAAATTTTATGAGATGTGGATAATCCACTTCTGATTTTAGAAATGGAAAATCCTGGTATTATGTCCACATGTGTTCAAAGATATGGTACTCAGTTTTGCAAGAACTTACTGAACTCGTGCACAGCGTCAACCGGTAGGCATCTTCCGTACGATGCACCTTGGAAAATACCCGAGCCAATCGCTGCTTGCATGGCCCAAGGTATGTTCAAATTATTTTTCAGTGCTTGTTCCCATTGTTGCATCCCTCTTGCACCATCGAGCATGTCAAGAATTCATACTCTCTTTGATTGCTTCCCATCCGAAAAGCACTGATGACAGATGGCACCGTCGAAAACATTAAAAAGCGAATCCTTTTCGTCCTGTAAGTTTTATTTCCTTCAAAGTTCTCAAAATTCAGGAATGAATGGTGGTGACCACAAACCTAAGGAGGATGCGATGGCGAGATGCATACGTAAATATGGTGTCACTTACTGCAACAACATGCTAGCATCTTGTTCTGTATTGACCAATGTAAATTATGACCCTAGTGGCGGTCAAATGCCGGGAATATTATCGGAATGCGTGACTGCAGGCAAGAATTTGCGAAAACTCATTCAAACCTCCATTGACTGGTTATCTTCGCAGTCAATTCCATCGTTTGCTCTCCATCGGAAAGCGTAGCAAGAATATTTTCGGCTCGAAATTGTTAAGATCATAGTGAGATATGTGAGCGAAAGACAAGAAGTACTTGCTGCTCATCGAATGTCATCAAAATGAAGTGCAGCTTGCTGTTCATATTGCTTCATTTGTTAATTGTCATCGTAGGTTCGGTTTGCGGTCTGTTTCAGAAACGGATGAACCGAGTGCAATGTGCCAATGCGTTCAAAAGTACGGTACTGAATTCTGCAAGAAACGCCTTGCATCGTGTATTGCTTCTACGGGTATGAATCTTCCCGCCACTACACCATGGAAACTGCCTCCACCTGTGGCTCGCTGCATGCAGCACGGTCAGTTGAGAATATTCGCTGTTTGCTCTGAATCACGATCATGCTTCCGCAGTGTCTTGGCGTCTCACTTAAAATGATGCTATCAGAACCAGCAATTTGTTGAAAAACCGAGCATGAGATAAGAGTTCATGCGTTCCTTTCATTTTTAGTGTTTTTTCAGTATAATGTGATTTGCTGTGGTTACATTTACAGTAATTGTGTACGATGCTATTCAGGGTCACCTAATGACAACCGCGGACAGGGACAGGGTTCAAATGACGTAATGTCTCAATGTATTGCTAGATACGGAGCCGAATTTTGTCAACGGTTAGCGAGATTCTGTTATGCAATGAACAGTTTACAATATCCAGGAGAGACTTTTGATCCACAGCAACAGACTCCAACACAAGTAGCAAGATGCATGAAGTCAGGTACGATTAATAATGAATTATTGTGTTTCCAAACAATTCTTTAATTGGAAGTTACGACTGCATTCTCATTAAGCCAATAAAGAATATATAATCATACCCAACTGGTTCCCTCACAAAACTTCTTTTCCTCGAAGTGGCGAGATCTCTTGAAAATCACATAGTCCAGGAGAACCGGAATGGATGTGATCCTGTTTGGGATCAGAAACATTATTCATACTTTTTATATTCAATTAATATATCATTCTAACAATCCAACGAGATCATCGAGTATGATTTGTATGAGTCCCATCTGATTCGAAAGTTTTGATCTTCTCCTTGTTCCATTGTAACTAGCCGAAATGGCTTTCTAGAAATGGATAGTCCGTCCGTAATGTGGCACTGTGTGCAGAAATATGGTCAAGAATTTTGTAACAAGTTAGCTGCCACCTGTTCGACAGAAACGAACACACCTCTTCCGCAACAGGATCCTTGGCGATTACCGCAACCAATAATCGCCTGCATGTTAGGAAGTGAGTTCTTCATTTGAACATTACTTTTCTGTATCTTTCACGCAACCTTCCAAATGTTGAGTTTTTTTTCATAGTTATCGCTAGTAGAAGTTGATCATCTAAACAGAAGCATCGAATGAATGCAGCAATACGTCACATCGAATAATATTTTCAGAAATGAATAATCCTAATCCAACATCCAAACCTCAGAGTGTAATGTCACAGTGCACAGCCAGATATGGTGATGATTTCTGCTTGAGTCTCGGAAAAGCTTGTGCTGAACTCAACAATGTACCATCCTCCATGATAAGTCTTTCTGCACAGCAATTACCCCAACCAGTTTCCAGTTGTATGAAAGCGGGTATGTAGTTTTCATGATCACTTTCATTATCATCAATCTGTTGTCGTACAATTTCTATGTGATTTTTTGCTCCCTCATTTTGGATTCAATAATCTAGAACGCCTGAATATCTCAATATCTTAAACGGTAAACTTCGAAAAATATTCGCGGAAAGATACATGTGTTAGAATATTTAGAAATGAACAACCCGAGTGCACTGTGGCAGTGTATACAGCAATACGGCATAGAATTTTGCAAGAAATTAAGAGATGCTTGTTCTGCAATGACTGGCGCATCTCTTTCCACTACAACTCCTTGGATTTTGCCGCAACCAGTATCAAACTGTATGAGAAACGGTAATATCATTTTATTCAAATTTCACTCCTTATCAGCTTATTTTTCTGGTAGTCAGAGTTCAGTGATGACTTCTGGCAAGGAGCAATGAAGAATAATCAATGAGGAATTGCTAAATTTTCCG